ATTAAAATTGATATTAAAATCACATTTGTAATTAAAAAGACAATGATTGTATAAATGTGCAGTATGGAGTATTATATGTATTATCGTAGTTGGATGTACGATAGGTTGTATCCAGGAAGACGCGGAGTTAAACCAAATGTTGAGGAGGGAGTTAAATGGTTTATCACGTGGACATTTTCTCAGGAATGTTGTTGAAGCGAAAGAGGAGTTATATGTCTTTGTCTTAAATGTAGATGCAGACCTATAATTAGTGACCCAGAGGAAGTAAAACGACATTTGAAGAGAAGGGGTTTCATTGAAAATTATTGGGTTTGGACATATAATGGAGAAGAATTGTCGAGTAGCGTATCAGAGACCAGCAATACACATGCTTCACGTAGTCAATCACCGATGTAACATGGGGAAAACTTTAATATGATCAGTGAGATAATGGGCAATGCTTTTGGTGTGAACATGATCTATGACGAACCTGAAGATTTTGATGGGGAAGAGTTGTCGAATGAGGAAGCGTAAAGATTTTATCAGTTTTTGAATGAGATGAATATGATGTTGTTTGAAGGGTCGTCGAACTCAAAGTTATCAATGTGTGTGAGATTATTGGCTACCAAGTCAAATTGGAATGTTCCTGATAAGTGTTTGGAATTCTTTGCAAAAATAATGCTCGATTCGATTCCTACGAAAGACAACTTGCCTACAAGTTTTTATGATGCAAAGCGGTTGGTGTCGAAGTTGGGTTTAGAAGTATGAAAGATCGTCTGTTGCATTAGTGGTTGCATGTTGTTTTATGACAATGAGTTTGGTACTAATGATGGAGCGTTGGAGGAATGTAAGTTTTGTAAGAGTCCAAGATATAAAGTTCGTAGTAAAACCATTTACTGTAAGCAAAAATTGTCTAACTATTTTATTTGAATATCTTACAACATTGTACGAAAAGTGTACGTGGAAAAACTGAATGAGAAAGAGGTTAGAAAAAATTATTTTGACAGAACAGCAGTTCGACTTTCTGACATGCTATGGCGTGCTAGAAAGCGTTGGGAACTTGAAAATATTCGTCCCAATTGGATAGGCAAAGAAGTATTCGATGAACTTCTTATTTATCTGGATTCAGATGCTGATTTTAAGGCAAGATCTGAAAAAGCAAAGAAAATGAGAGCATCTGAAAAATGGGGTAGCCTTAATGCAGTTAAAAGTATAAGTGTTGCCTAACATGCTCGACGCATGGTAATTATTACTTCTATTTTAAATTATATTATAATTTATTATATATTTTTAATTAAATTTAATTTAATTATTTAGAAAAAGAGATTGGGGAAACCTCCACTCATGACGGAGCTAGTTGTAAAGACTAGAACAAAGAAATTGGGGGCTTTGTTGACGAACGCACTAAAAAAGCTTTGGTAAGTAAGTCGTTTTATTTTATTTAAATTATTTTTATTTAATGACAATTTTGTGACTTGATTATCATGTGGCAACTGAGATATTGTGGCGTGAAAATCACGTGGAAATATTTATTATTTAATTTAACTTAAATTATTTAAGCTATATGTAATTTAATTTTTTTTATATTTTATGTGTAGGAGGATTACTAAGTATTGCTCACACAATTTTTGGTAGAGAATCCTTAGTATACTCCAAGAGGTTTCGAGCCGCTTAATCCAGGAGTGGATTTTTATATTTGGGGTTTAGTAACTGGCGGAAAGGGACTAAATGGATGTTTATTTGGTGCTGAAGCTTTGGTTGGTGGTATAAGAAAAGGGGATAGAACTTTATTTCAAAGAGTTAGAAATAGTGAGGAAACGTCACATCCACCACAATTGACCCCTGAGATGTTAGAAACGGTAAGATAACTGACGCTAACTGAAGCGAGATGCGAAGCGGCGACTCAAATGGAGGAGCAACAACGTCGGGTAGAGGCAATGAAGAAGAGACAAGTTGAAATGGAGGCGATGATACGCCAATTTATGCAATCACAAGGTGATGATAATCCAGTTGTTGGAAATGAAGAAGTTGGTGGTTAATAACAGTTGGATGGCGAGGATAACGATGATTTTGACATTGACAATTTTCCCGATTCAGATTGATCCGAAGCATTTATTGTAATTTTAAATTTTTATTTTTTTAAAATATTAATTACATTATAGTATATTATACACTTTTTATTTAAAAATTGTATTCTTAATTTTGGTATTTATTTATATTTATTAATTTTTGTTATTTATATTTATTAAATTTTCAATTTAAATTATTATTGGAAAAATTTAATATTAAATTTGTATTTTAAAATAATTAAAAAAACAAACTATAATTATAATTTTAAATTATAAATAAAAATACAAACTATTTTTAAACGTGTACTAAAAAATTAATGAGTTGTTTTTTTTAATAACTCAGTCACGTGATATTCACGTCACAACTTGTCACGTGAAATTCACATCGCAACTTGCCACGTGAATATCACGTCACAACTTGCCACATGAATATCACGCGGCAAACTTCTTATACACGTCTGCTAGAGGTGGCAATTGAATCCATTAAGGCAAAATCCATCCAATCCATCCATCAAAAAATTCATCCAATCCATCCACCACACAAAAAATAAGTTAATGGACTGGATTAAATCCATCCATTTATATACATGGATGGATTCAATCCATCCAACATATTTTAAAGATCCAATGGATTATTTTTATTTTCGTTAGATTTATTTTTTTAAAAATAGATTTTTTTAAAAATAATTAAAAAAACTATATTTTTTTCCCGAAAAAATCGGTTTTTTTTTCAGAATAAAAAACTGATTTGTTTTTCGAAAAAAAAATTAAAAAAAATTTCGAAAAAAAAACCGTCTTTTTTTTTGGAAAAAAATCGATTTTTTTTCAGAATAAAAAACTGATTTATTTTTCGAAAAAAAAAGACTTTTTTTTGGAAAAAAAAATCAGTTCTTTTTTCAGAATAAAAAACCGATTTGTTTTTCGGAAAAAATATTAGTTTTTTTTTTCAGAATAAAAAACTGATTTGTTTTTCGAAAATAAATTAGTTTTTTTTTAGAATAAAAAATTGATTTGTTTTTCGAAAATAAAATAAATTTTTTTCTCGAAAAAAAATCGATATTTTTCAAAAATTAAAATAATATTTTTTTTTGAAAATACAAAAAATTCAGTTTTTTTTAATAAATATATTAAAAAATATTTTTTTTTAAAATACAAAAAATAAATTTTTCAAAAATAAAATAAAAAAAGATATTTATTTTTACGAAATAAAAAAAAAGTTGGATGAATGGATATCCATCCATTAAAATTATGTAAATGGATGGATTGAATGAATTTTATTCTTAATGGATGGATTTGATTGAATAATTTTAAGAAAATTTTAATGGATTTTTAACGGACTAATGGATTGTTTTAATCCATCTATTAACAATCCAATCCATATCCATCCATTTTGCCACCCCTAACGCCTGCCATCTTCTCTGCTACGTCTACTATGACTGCAACTCTGTTTTATTTGTTGCGACGTGAAAATTATGTGGCAAAGTTGCGACGTGATTTTCACGTGGCAACAGAGTTGCCACACGTGATCCTGTCACGTGAATAGTCACGTCGCTAATACCAGTTTGTGACGTGATTTTTAAGGTTGGTTGTGAAGTGAAATTCACGTGGCAAAATTTATTTTTTTTGTACGGGATTCAATAAAAGTTATTGTATAATTAATAGTATAAAAATTAATAAACCATCACATAACCACCATTTGTGAAAGAGAAGTTAAGATTTAAAATAAAAACTAAAAAGGCTATATTTGGAAGAAAAAAATGTTACACCAAAACTATGTTTTGTCTTTATATATAGAAGATATATAGATATAGATAAATGATATTTTTTATTTAATTTAAATAGAAGTTATTAGTAAGGCGTTATGTAAAAGATAATAGTGATAGTTCAATGAAAATTATTGTGTAATTAATAGTATAAAAATTAATAAATCATCACATAACTATTATTTATGAAAGAGAAGTTAAGATTTAAGATAAAAACTAAAAAAAAAAAAACATTTAAAAAAAAAAGACTACATCAAAATTATGTTTTTTCTTTATATTTATATATAAGTATAGATATAATACACAATTCATCAATTCATAATTAAAGAGTGATATAAGAAAATATAATCAACCATATGAAATGATGATAAAAGAAAATACAGTAATATATTTCAAACTTATCTAAGTTCTTATTTTTCTTCACTCCTTTCACATCCGAATTCTATTTGTCTGTCTTTATTTTTTCCATCTTTGATTTTGTAATAATCATCATTATTTTGTATTGCATACCCACCTCTCTAGTCCACATCAATCAAGTTTCTGTCCTGCCAAATTTTTATTCGATTGTAAATACTTTATTCAATTTTTCACGTAAGAATCTCTTCGCTATTGTTACATTTTAGACAACAATTCGATTTTTTAATTAAAAAAAAATTGTAAATGGGCAAGCTTTCAATTTGAAACTTTGAATTTGAATATTCAATCCAAAAGTTTGAGTATTTTGTGTGCTCAAATTTCCAGTTTAAATATTCAAATCTGATATATTGGGATTGATCTTATATGTCCAGTTTATTTCTGATCAGAATTATGAGACAGACGGAGGGTACTTTTTATGTGAAGAAAGTGAAAATTTGAAAATAAATGAGGAGTATCTTGAGATTATCACATTTGAAAATTTGAACATGACACCACAAGGTGTATAATTTGATTATATTAAATACAAGAATTACAATAAAATTATTTCTTGTCAATGTTATATACAAATCCCAAGCCCTAAAAAGAAAAACAGTAGTTAAATACTATGTACATAATAGTACCCTGTAAGCATAATTTGGTATTTGTATATTACCAAGTACTCTGGAAGCCGAGCATCGTATATACAAAGCAAGCCCTGGGAAATATTTAAAACATTCAACCGAAAGTTGAGCAATCTAACTATTGATGACAGTCGTAGCTGGTGAAACTCATGCTATTTAGCACCATACACCTGCAGGATTCAAATTAGCAATAGCTGTTGAGTCTTGAGGATTTTATAAGCATAAACAAAAGAGACAGAAAAAGAGTGATAACTGATAACGTTGTAAACAGGTGTAATGGGAAAGTTTTTGTAACCAAAGCATGCGATTTCAATTACTCTGTCAATATTTCATTTGTGTGACACAAAACATGTTCTCTAATTTAGAGATGCGAAATTACTTGTTAAGGCCACGGTTTTACAACTAATATAATTAAATGAAGTAGGATACCTTTATAGACTTGTTACCACATCCAACGTAAAGTTTTCCTTGACTGCATAATATAGCTGTCACAACAGAACCGGAAGGAATGGATCCAAATGTGTTGACATTCAGTTCTAACTCGTCTCCCGATAATTCCTACAATTCAATACTCTTTTTAATGAATTTCTATGCTAATTGAACGAATAATAAATATTTAAATAAAACACCACAGTTTGAAGATACAACAATCTTATCATCAATCTTATACTACCTCTTAAGATTAGTTTCAACATTTCTTGGGTATTATCATGATTTGTTTCCTATGTATTAAGATTACTGTAAATTAGAGTTAGTGTTTAGTCTTTTTGTATCAAATCATCAATCATATCAAACTATATTCTTGATTTAAAATCTCTATTCTTTTTCTTTCACTATTCTGCTACCAACTTCCCTGGAATCTGAAACTACTAAAATTTGAAACCCAATTTTTCTTGCCAGTTGTACACGTATTTCCGCCCTTTTCCTTCTATCTCAAGTTTTCTCTATGCTTGTGTTACAAGGTTCTCATCTGTTGTGTTGTCATCTTTCCAATTGTCCAGAATCTCATCCACATCGTCTCATTTTTGCAGTATGGCCCCATTTTTTGTCTTGCCTGCAATTTAGTATTGATTCATGTTCCAGACGTGGTTTGGACTTGCCGATCTTAAGATGAAAAATATATTATTTTGTTATTTTCGATTTCAAGGTGTACAATTGTTAGCTTACTTAAAGCTTTACGCGTAGTCTTAGACAACATGAAAGTATCTTATAAGTATCTTAGATTATCTCATAGGATAAGTTTTTTATCATCGACCATCTCAGACTATCTCTTAAGAACATGGTTGTAAACACGGTAAATGTAAAACCCTAAATCTTACCCTATAACCTATCCTGTAACTATCTCTTCCCAGTTAATGTAAAAACCCTATAAATTCAACAATCACAATTGAGTTTTCACAAATTTAAATGATTAACATAGCAAGCTGACTTCACTAAGTTCATGTCCATGTAATTCCCAAAACCATAGCATAAGATTTTGCATTTCTACCTGTATATTAACGTTTGTGTCCCAACCTCCTGTATAGAGACATTTTCCTTGCATACTCATAGCAAAAATGGCACCACTATGCAATGTTTTGGAAGTCATGAACACGTCGTTACTCCAAACCTAAGCAAGCAAAAAAAAAAAAGAGATGTTACCCAACAATGAAAGGAGATGATTATATAGAGATATTTAATTTCAAGTGGTCTACAATATATTAATCTTTTTATGGGAAGGAACATGGTTCAAGAAAAGCAAGAAACCTTTATGCATCCATTCTCATATGCTGCAACCAGCAAATTCCTATTGACAGTAATAGCCAGGATAGACTTCATCTCTCCAGGCAAATCTTCCCCTAATACCGCCAACGAGCTGTGATCATTAAGACTCCACAATCTGATAGTTCCATCCCAACTACCACTGTAAAGAACATCATCAAATACTGAAAGTGTGGAAACTACAGACTTGTGGCCTTCCATTGTGCACATCAAAGTTCCATCCTGGAAAAATGTAGTAAGTATAACAACTCAAAGAATGCACTTTGCAATAAAGCTTTTGTCTAAGGCTGCAACATGTGCATACAATGAAAACGATACTCACCTTTAATGACCAAGCTTTTATTGTTCTATCTCCACTTCCAGTGTAGAGAAGATTTCCGAAAGCAGTCATCGAATGGATACCACTAAAGCGCCAATCCTTCGGCTCATACCATTTCCTCAAGGGTTCTTGCCTAAGAGATGCAGCAATCTCCCACACAAATATGCCCCCACCACCGTCACCACTTATACACAACGATTCTTCGTCATCAACATAAACTAGAGCCATAATTTTATTCTCATGACCTTTAAATGTATGTAAATGAGAAAAGTCCTACATAAAATTTGATGGAACTCAGTCAACAGAATAACCAATACTGCTTGGTAGCAAAAGACTAGCTCCAAAAAAAAAAATTATTATCAATCATGCTTTAAGGTTGCATAACAATTAAACTAGCACTCAAGATTCTATTTTTTTCATATAAAGAAAAGAGTGTAATAATCCTACATAGCTGAAGGTGAGAAGAGTAAATATGCATTTGAAGGAAATATACTGATCGCAATTTGTCATAGAATAATAATTTTGGGAAGTCATCTACAATCCAACAAACCCTAGAGCAAACACACTGGTTTACATTTAATTTTAAAAGGAAACCTTAATTTTTGAAAGAAAAAGGGAAGCATGAGTATCACAAATGGAAATGTGAAATTATTCTGTCCATCTATTTTTCTCTCACTTCCTTTTATTTATTTGTGTATAAGAAGTGCTAGCAATACACTCTCCTGTTGATTGAATAAAGTGGATCCCACAATTTTGAAAAATGGGCCCACCAAATGACACGGAACTCAATAAAATTTTGTAGAACCCACGTGAATTTCAACCAATAGGAAGGTGTGTCCTAAAATGAGTGTGTTATTAGCATTTATCGAAAGGTATTTACTAACTGGTGTCACCAAGGAAAAAAAACACCAGAATAACTATTAACTAGTAAGTACCAAAAGAAAATTTCTAATTTCATTACATTTACTGAAAAATTAATGATGAAATCCTCATGCAAAGATTATTAGTGAATACTGAGATTATGTTTTTGGAAACCAAAATAGAATGTTATTAGGTGATTGTCATTTAGAAGTGTTACCTGCAAGGACCATACACGGACAGTTTTATCAAAAGAGGAGCTAAACAAATATCCCCCTGTGAACTAAACAAACAGTTGTTAAAATGAAATATAACTCTCCATTGCATGATCGCCACATATACTAACAAATCATAACTCCACAAGTGTAACACTTTCTTTAAAATAGGCGAAGCAACATCAACACATAAGCTAATTAAGAGCCTAGCATATAGGTTGCATTAAAACGTGCCACACCAAATTGCACATTAGTAACAATATTTTTAGAAAAGACGTGGACGATATTAGAAACCATGACTGAACCAACTCAAAAAAAAGCCTTATGTTCATCTGCCACCCAAATCCATGGCAAATGTCAATTATCAGATAACCTATTAATCACCTGACTGAAGGCCTTAAGCGGCCTAGTTCACCTCTTTGAAAACAATATGGAAATATAATTTATTTTATACCTCAAAAATAGTGTTAAAGTATCTTGTCATCCAAACATGCAACAAATTATATCATGAAATATGACTGATAGTGATTGCAGTGTTTGAATATAAACTCAGAATTCATACCTCCTACAGCTAAACCAGTGATAGAACCAAGATGGCCTTGCAGATCTTTAAGCTCAGTCATTCCTTGAGATATGCTAGCAGCGAAGTCTTCATCAGATATATTTTCAGCACTTTGAAGAAACTCAGGTTGACTGCCATTTACTTTCGCCTTCAACTCATGATCTCTCGTTGCCTTAGATCTTTCCTGAAGCAACTGACACAACTTAGCAAGAATCACAGGGTGACCTGTGTTGTTCCTATTTACTGTGACCTCTGTATCTCCCAAAAAACCAAATTGATGTTTCACCAGCACATCTTGAATACATTTCCTTACATCCACTATATCAGGACGGTTTCCAGGATCGATGTCCAAACATTTGGACAGAGTCTGTTTAAGCGATAGGTTTTCAGAACCAATTTTTTCTTCCAAAACAGAACAAACTTTCTCCCCCCAAGAAATGTAACTAGCTGAAACATCAAGGCCACTCTCTTCACTCATTTGCAAGGTAATCCCAGGGAGTGCATTTCTAAAAAGAAGCTGCAGTAACACACAAGCCAACGACCACACATCTGAGCCATAACCAATTGGATATCTCGAATCTCCACTCTCTGGGTTGATAATCCCCTTGTGCAATAACATAGACAAAACCTCCGGGCTAATAAAAAGCTCATTATTCAAACAATCAGTACACATGGCTTTGTGATCATCACCCACACCACCAGAAACCTGATCCACAACCTTCCTTCCCATCACCAACACCTCATTCAAATCAATACAAACACCACCAAGTTCATCAAACGAGAAGCAGGAAAGTCCCAAACATCCAGCAACCAAACCTTCCAAATTCAAAGCAATCACAGCTTCAACCATACCCTTAGCAATCGTCGCAAAACTAAAAACCCCGCCTTTATCCAGTTCCAAACCATCCCCATTCACACTCAATCCACCAAACTTATCCAAAATCCTACCACTGTGTCTCTCACACACCAGATACAGAGAACCAACAACAACCTCACTCCACAACCCATAAACCCTACAAAACCTACCCTGCCTCACAGAAGCTTCTAGAATCAAACCTAAACCCTCCCTCACAACCTCATTCATCCCCTCCAAACACTTAATAACCCAAGCAACATAACTAAACTTAAACTTCGAATCACTAACCGGAGACAAAGTAACAACAGGAGCAATACTCACCGCACGGTTAACTCCGAAACAAACCCTACCCTTAGAACTCGAACTAAACCTACCAAAACCATTCTCGTCAAACGAAACAGCATCGTTCGGAAGGATCCAATCCTTCCAAGCAACGTAAAACTCATCAGACCAAAACCGAGAGGAATAGCCATAACTAATCGAGGACCGTTGATGATTCGATTTCCGAATTTTAGACGAAGAGTGTTGCTGGAGGCAGATTCTAAGAAGATCAATATTTTTGGGAAGAGAAGAAGGACCTTGTTTGGGAGAGTATTTAACGAGTTGAGTACACGCAGGGCAACGAATAGTGTTCGGAAATCGCTCCTGAAGCTCTACAAGACAAGCTTCACAAACGGTGTGGCCGCATGATAGTACTCGCGGAATCGCGGTTTCGCCGTCGTAGTTTTGGAGACACACCGGGCACTCAGGTAACTCCGGTAACGCCTCCATCCAAACACAGCCGAAGAGACCACAACGGCGTCGTTTCTTTGTCATATGAAATTTTACTGATTAGACGGTTTTGTCCTTTGATTATTTTAAATACCGAGATTACCCTCGGGTATTCACCGTAGAATAATGTAGCTAACTAAGGGCGCGTTTTTATTAAAACACTCCGATCGCGTGTGATAGAGAGATCTGAACTGAAAGTTGCATCTGCATCTTCTTGATCTGAGTGAGGTATGGATTCTACTCTTTGTTGGTTTTTTCTGAGAAAATTCGAGATTCGAAGGAATCATGTAATTAATGGAGCTTGATTTAGTTGCTGCTTTTGTTTTTACTTGAACAATGAATTGCTCTTTCGAATTGATGGAACTTTGACCTAGTAACTTGTAATTAGGTTTTTTTTTACAGTTATTTTATCTTTGAGAACTTCAGATCGACGTGTTTTACCAACATTATTAGATCCATTGAGCTTTAGGAATTGAGTTTTTTTGTTGCTTCGGAATGCTTGTGAGCGAACTCTGGTGTTTGTGTTTTGATTTATAGATGTCTCGTCTGACAATTGTTTCTTTGTTTGAGCTATAAGAAGGCCATGGCAGGGTCTGGGAGTTCCATGACGTATTCCTTTCTTTTATTCATTGTCATCCTCTCACTTCAAGAAATGTACCGTGGGAAACTTGCATCGTCAGAACTATACACAATACTTGGAGGGTTCACCAGCTCTCTCGTATTTCTTGTGCTCCTAACTGTGAGTTCTGAAGCCATATTTTTTGCATGAGTCACAATCAAATCTGGCATGAGCGTTTTCTTATCTTTTAAGTTTTGCATGAGTAATCAGATCATTTATTAGAAGGCATGAGAAAATGTTTTTCCGACATCTGAAATGAAAAGTCACAATCAATCCCAGATTTGAAAAAAAAAACTCTTTGCCAAACCATAATGGTCCTACTCAGAGTAGTCAATAGCGGCGCTATCCCGCTATGGAAAGAGCCTTAGCGGTGCTGAATACTATAGCAGCCGCTATAGGCTAAATAGCAGGATATTTGAGCAGAGCGGTTCCCGGCCCAGAACGATTTCTGGCCCACTACTATCCTTTTCCCCTCTAAAAAACTAAATTGCTCCTTAAATTTACAATGGTTTAAGGGTAATTTTGTGTTTTTCAATCAAATTTCTGTTGAGACTCAACCTTAACCTTCCTTCATAATCGTTTATGCACTTAGATTCATGTGTGCTTTGATTTACGAATATTTTATGAGTTGAGTTATTTGTTTAATTTTACACTAAATATATGTTTATAATTATTATATGTAATTTGTCCAAAAAATGATCAAATAGAGCAGTCATCCCGCTATACGCTATCTAGCTTTTGGGGTCATCCACTCAGCACCGCTGTCCGGGAATGACTATTCTGATCCTACTACCCCGCTCATTATTTACCGTATATTCTTCCCACAATCTTATTACATAATATCTCTTTTACTTATGGCCTCTACCTGGGTCTCTGTCAATCATCGATATAGTCCTACTTAGTCCAATGGATCTTTTGCTCACATATTAGTGCTAAATGGACTGTTGCTGCCCATGCTAACAAGATATTTGTGAATACTATTTTTATCCATATAGTCTGTCTTAGATTATCTTCTGTCACATATATTGTCTATTCAAGCAAAATATTTAGAGTTAATTTAAGTTAATCACACTTATGTTACATTTTGGTTGCAGTTCATTGGAAATTTTCAGGAATCAGCCGGTGCAAAAACTGGCTGGGGTGCTGGTAAGTACACGACAATGAATGTTGATGACAAATAGTTAAATTTTATATTAATTAAATTCAAAATTCAAAAAACAGAATGAATATTAAGTGGTACTTTGCAAATCTTCTACAGTTTTATACTTGAGAATTGCATGAAATATGGGATGGCGACGGGGCATTCAATTCTTTTGCTTCTGTTGTCATTATACATAAGTCATGCATGCTTGAGCTTTCAGTTGTGTTTTATGTATTAAAGAACTTTAAATAGTGTCTTTATTTTGCAGTCATAGTAGCAGAAGTAGTTGCTTTGATTGCTGCAAGCACTGTCCACCGAGTATGCACCACTACATGGTATGCTCCCTGCATTACCCTTCTCTCCCACTTACTAATGAACAATAAGAAGAAACACACTAGGAAGTGTAGTGCCTAAAGTATTTCTTTCAAAAAACAAAATTACTGTGAATGAGAAGTAAGAAACACATTAAATGTCAATCTCCCCTCTGATCTAATTGGTGCAGAGTCACAATTAATTAAGTGGATATTCTAGCCAAGCCTTCTCAATGACTCTTTTTAAATCACCATCTACTTATGATGAAATTATGCATTTTTTATATTAAAGAACACATCATACGTTCTTTTAATTGAAAAAGGGCATTGATACCAACTTCTTTTATTGAAAAACAACACATCTTACCTTTTTTTGAAAAATCACGGTGGCTCATCAGGATTCTGACAAACTCACTGTGATACCAAATATATGACTATCAGCTTATAATAGAAGTGGTGAAGTTTGACATTTGACATTTTAATTACTACATGCAACGGGTTGGTTAACCTTAGGCACATGTTCTTATTGATTCTGGCTTTCATGTTTCACCTCCACTCATTACATGATAAAATATATGACAATCAGCTTGTAATAAAATGGTGAAGTTTGATATTTGAAATCTTAAGTAATACTTATAATGGGTTGGTTAACCTTTGGAGCATGTTCTTATTGATTCTGGAATTCATGTTTCACCTCCCCCCATTATAATTAAATAAACTATTGTAGATTTTTATCCCTCTACCTTCTTAAGCTCTTACACCCTCCATTCTCTTTTATAAGCAAATTTTAATTTTTTGGATTCATTAAATAATTAATATATCTAGTTTATATATTGTCCAAATACATCATTTATTTAATGAATCTAAAAAGTCAAAATTTTCTTATAAAAGAGAATGGAGGGAGTATATAATAACATTGAATTCTAGCTTTTCTTTGTGGTGTAACCAATAGTACAATACATTGTAAAAGAAGAACAGGCAGCATCATGATATCATGTGCTTTTCGGTAAATAAAGTAATATAGACGACTTAAAACTTTTGTAAATTGTAGATTGCAGCCTATTTCTGATTTTGTAAATTGCAGAAAATCAGAAGGATGTTTCTGTTTCCTATAGCACATTTTTAAATTGGAATCAAAACGGCCTTGTAAATTGAATAAACAAAATAGTCAAATATAGCAACTAACTAGCAGAGTATTTTGGTATTGTCATAGTCAGGTATTTATAGATAGGGTGTTATCAAATCAGAGTAACAGGATGGCTCTCTGTGGATACTTTATGATTTAAAAACCATAAAATTGTATCAATTGTTTTTTTTTATGAAACCATTGTTAATGTTCTTCTAATGTTTGTTGCATAAATGCAGTTTCCTGTTCTCTGCTGTATTGCTCTATGAGGTTAACAAGCTCTCTGGATCAGCGGTTTCAACAACTGACTCCAGAACTAAAAAGCAAAGTGGGAGAGCTTAATCATTTTGCATGATTACTGTCAGGGCATATATAGAATTTTCCCTAGTCGCGATAGTCTTACAGCCCTAGTATCAGAACTTATAAGATGAGCGTTTTATGATTTATCTGGCTCTTCATTTTACAATTACAATGGTATAATGGTATGATTTGAAAGATGTGCATTTAACTAAAATTCAATCAGTCCTTTTTTATCACAAGCGAGCTTGTTTACTTTGCCAAATAGTGAATGCTAAAATGGGTTACAAGATCTGAATTACTAATGATCAAACTTCCAATTGCCACCATCAATTATTGCAATTCTAGCCCCTCAATTCCAAAATCCTAGCTTTCCGAGGCATGTTCCTTTTGCTTTATGATCTGATAACTTCCAAAATCCCAGCTTTCTTCTCCTACTTCCCTTTCTCACCTATTTCTCAAACTCACATTTCTTTTTGAGAAACAAATGTCACACACACTTCAATCTCAACAATCTCCCTCATCTAAGAGTCATTCACATGGATCCCACTTCTAATCTCCCATGGCTCTTTTGAAATGTCAATGGGTTAAGTGTTTAGGATTTAAGAAATCTTAACACCATATATTTATCCAAAATCTCAAGACAATGTTAGTATGAACTTCAGCAATCTCTCTCATAAATGTGAGCCACCCACATGGATCTCACTCTTGCTCTTCCACCAAGTCATGGCTCTTCTGGGATCTCACTCCTGCTCTTCCACCAAGCCATGACCCTTCTGGGAAGAGTCAGAAGTGTCAATCTAAGATCTTATTGGATTATGAGTCCATTCTCTTATATATTTAACATTTTTTCTATTTCTAATCAATGTAAATCTTAGCCACTTACATTTAAATTCCAACAATTTCCACCAACTTGTTTAAATCACACTTGGGGTGAAAATAAAACAGATTCATAACAAGGGTCTACAGACCTAATCTACACATGCTCAGGCTAAATCAATTTTTTTTATAAGTCTAGTTAAACAGGCTAAACCTCAAAATATGAAAAAAAAAAAAAAAAAGTCTTTTAAGTCTAAGTCGACCTATTTAAATAAATATGAATAATTTTTTAATTATCATTATGTTATATTTTTTTACTTTGAATTAAAATACATAAATAAAAATTGATTATCTTAAAGAATTTATGAAAATAAAATAAAAATATTTTATGAACAATGATATAAGTTATTTTTATAAGTTATCTTAAATAAATAATCTCACAAAACGTATGCTAATAGGTAAGTTAAAATAAGTCAATGTAAACAAATTTTCAGTCTCATTGATTTTTAGTTTGTTAGTCTATTTAAAATAACAGACTTTTTTGTAGGCTAGGCTAACCATACCTTAGAAAATATCAGACTCAGACCTAAAAATAAGCCTATAACAAACTGCAGGTAGACTTAGACTTTAATGTAAAAAAATTTATACTAACCGTGGAGTGTTTAAACTCATAATTTATTAAGGTAATACATCTTACTAATAAAAACTATGTATGCAATTTTTACAAATTGACTAGTTCAAATTTTTATTAAGATCGGTTTGAATGTCATTCATCCTTTTTATATAAAACCCTTCATTTTTCTTCTATGATTTATCTTCTCCCCATCCTTTTTATATAAAACCCTTCATTTTTCTTGTATGATTTATCTTCCCCTCCCTTTCATTTCAAAAAATCCAATGCTATGCAAAAACTCAATTCTGCATTTTCTCCTTTGTTAAGTCTATCTATTGTTTTTTTTTTTTTTTTAAATCTTGATATCCAGTCTTGCGACCGATTAATCTAAAAAATCAATCTCACCATCCGCTAGCGAATGTTCCGCTTAAAGTCAAAGTAAAATTTTGTATGGACTGACCCAACACAAAGATTAATTACACCTAATAGGATTCGAACCAGAGACATTAAGAGGAGCACACTCTCAAAACTCAAATCTCCACCTATGGTGCTGACACTGTATCATGTCGATACTAATTTGACAAGAACTTGAAACTCAAAAAGCAATGGATATAAAAGTTGGATATAAAACTGTATTAAATTTATTTTAAAACAGAGGATGATTCCCTTTCTTACGATAGGTAATGCATACAAGTAAAGTATCTCAAAAAAGAAATGTATACAAGTAAAAGAAGAGAAAGTAAGACAATGCTATGGATGGAGTTTGGTTCCTTGCAAGATGAACAATGAAAAGATGAAAATCAACAATAAACTGGTAGAGAACAGCATGCTCGTTCTGCCCTAAATCTTTAACCACGTGGAAATTCTCCACACCCTTGTCCTTGTTTCACTCTCCTTGGACTTTGTGTCCACTCTGTTATGTCTGCTCCTCTATCTTCTTTGCTCTTCTTCCTTTCCTTCTTTGAGCCTCAAGTCCAATAGTTTCCTTTCTTACTCCCTTCCCATTTATATTTTCTCTTATGCAAATGTAAGCTAGGCATATCAATTTGTTAAAAAAAAATGGGATTACTCATTACACCTTTAATGTTTCTTTCAAACCTTGTGAATTTCCAAAATTATCTTTCGCTTCGTTTGGATAGTAAAATCCGGACGCACCCAATGGCATTGATATCCATATAAACTCAAATGACCAGATAAGTATCTCCGAATTTTAATATCCAGATAGTAATGTAATATCCAGATGAAGCAAAAGGGGTAATTTTAAAAATTAGGAGTTTGAGAGAAACACTAAAGGTGTGAACAATCCCCTAAAAAAACATACCAATGGACATGTCACTCTCTACATGTGCATTTTTGCCTTCTATCGTATTACAAGTCACTGAATCCACCCCATATGAATTCAAACAGATGGTAATTGATGTGATTACATACAACAAAAAGAATCTGAGCATGCATTTGATGGAGTTCTATCATGGATCACAAAAATTTGACCAAAACTCGGGAACATGATCCTCTTACAATGAACTGATGATTCTCGCAACGCAACAAAAAAAAAAGATAAAAAGAACTTGGTCTTTTTTTCTCTTGTTACCTGGAGAAAAATTACATATACATCTTGTAAGTTGTTATCCCCAACAACCACTATCACACCAGCTCACTGAGTGCATAGCCTCTGTATCTCTTCTACAGCACCTGCTTTACAAATCAAATATCCCTCCAAATATGCAGTTCTTTGTTAAGAGACACAGCTAGTGCTAGTAGATTTTTCTGCACGCCAATTACGAGCAGCCCCCCCTTCCATGTTTTAATCATACAAAGGTTCCTTAACTAGAAGATTTATTTTCTCATGCAGAAATTTGAGCACATCTTCCCTCCCTTCCTTTATAAGTAACTGTCTCAACTTCGCAAATGTAATCCGCGACGGTCGAATTCCTTTCTCTATCATCTCTTCCAGTAAAATACAAGCTTTCACAACATTTCCCTTTTGACACAGTCCATTGATAAGAACTGAAAAAGTGTGCAAGCTTGGAACAAACTGTTTTGACTTCATATACCTCCATATTTTCAGAGCCATATCCACTTCATTCTTCTCACAAAACATTTTTATCAACATTGTATACGTATCAGCATCAGGCTCACACAGCTTGATCATCCTGCGAAAGACGCTAAAAGCTTTATCAGTCTCTCCTTGGCTAATCAAACTTCTCATGATAACATTGCAGGTCCTTGAATTCGGAGCAATACCATTACTTTCCATCTCTCGTAACACCCTATACACATTTTTTAATTTGTTCGCCTTACAAAAAGCACCAATCAAGGCATTATACACCACAACATCTGCCTGAATTCCATTCCTTTCCATCTCCATGAATGTATCGATAGCATCCTCAATCCGATTCTCCACTCCATAAGTATGAACAAGCACATTATAAATAAACGACGTCGGCCTGCAATTATTATCATCCATATCCTTGACAACCCCGACCGCTTCATCAACCCTTCCCGCCTTGCAAAGAATATCAACCATTATACCATAAGTAACAATATCAGGATTGCACCCTGCAGAAACCATCTCCCCAAAAACCTCTCTTGCTTTCGGAAGATTCGGTTCCTTTCCCCACCCTTCAAGCAATATACTATAACTTTTCAAATCCGGCTCAAACCGTCCCTTCATACTATCAAAAATCTCCTGAGCCTTCCTCACATTGCTAGACTTACACAAAGCACTCAACAACCCATTAAAAGCAGCGAGATTCTGCAGCGTATCATACTTATCCATTACATTAAAAGTATAAACAGCTTCATCAATCTTATGAGCCCTAGCATATTTTCTCATGATAATACAAAAAGTTTCAACATTTACCATACCCTTTTTCCTCATTGAATTAACAAGATCCCACACAATCTGATACTGCCTAATCTTTGCCAAAGACTCAATCATCAAGTGATAAGCTCTTACCGAATGCGAGTAGTTTCGCTGATTCTCCGCCCACTCGAAGAACCGAAACGCCGACATCCCGGCATTCTCGAACCTCTTGAGCACAGTTTCCACTAATTCAGGAGAAACCCTAACCCCTGTTTGATTAAGAGCAGTGTCAAGTGTGACTGCGGGAGAAGACATCATAACCTTACAGACGGTTTCTGTTACTTCTGCAAAATCCGGAATTGGTTCGCTTGTGCTTAACATTTTGGCGAACGATGCGCATTTGAGTAGTGGAAAATTTCTATGGTTGGAAATGTTAATCATTGCGCTATGGTTGAACTGTGAGAGTATGTACTATGTAGTATTGCTTGGAAATGGTTAAATTGGGATTGGAATTTGAAGTTGCGGCATTTGGAGGTTGTAAGTATGAAGGAATTGAAAATCTGCAAACCCTAACGGTACTGATATGGACTGAAGAAGCCAGAAGAAAAGTGCTTATACAGCAATGCAACTTTGCCAATCGCGATTATCGCCAAGGTTGTTTCAGAACTATTAGATGCCAAGGTTGTTTCAGAAGCACTCAAAAATGATTCTCGTGTAATTGATTTTGACCTTTTTTTGAAGTTTTTTTCTTTCTTTGAAATTGGTTGAGTTGAAGAAAATGATAATGGACAGATGCATACAAGGATGTGACAGTGTTGCATAGTAAATTTAGTGTTGGTTAATATTAAGCGAAAGATGTAAAATTATAAGGTGTATTCATTTATCATTCACAGTGTTGTTATATAATAAATTATTCCTTAATTTCTTTGACCTTTTTTTTTAAATTGATTGCATCATCCCTAGAGATCTAATCTAAACAATAAAACCCTTGTAACTAAAATAAACATGAAACAGAGATGATACAAAACTTTATGAGACACCTACATCTTCTAATTATATTTTTAAACATTTATAAACCCACAAACCAAAAAGTGAACGGAGATGATAAAGTATCGGAGACCAATGTCAAACTTAACTTTTTTATGGATACCAATTGATACACTAACATTTTGCTTCCTAAGAAGAATCTCATAAAACAATATTTGATACTGCATCATCATCTTTTGTGTTGTGGTTTTCCGAGATCCTTCTCTAATTGTAAAAAGCATTGTTGGGTTTGGCCAACACCACGGAGTGAGGAAGGTTCAATGAGCAAGATGCATAAACAATTTTTTTTATTAAGTTTAGTTGCTCTTTGAGTCCGTTCGTCTTTATCATCTCTTTTTTTTTTTTTTTTTTCGTGTTTTGAAAAACCAGAGTTTGCAGTTGTCTTTGTCTTCTCTTCTTCTTCTTTTTTTGTTTCAACTTTTCTTTATCAAATAAAATGAAACAAAGTTACAAGGTGTATAAGGGTTTCATTAAAAAAAACTAATAAATTCAAAACAAACAAAAATTACGAACCATGTCAGATAATATGATACTACCTAGATGCCACATATGCAAAATTTAACGGTTTTTCTCAATATTTAAAAGAAATGATTAAATTGATTAATAAGACTATTTTTAAGGGATTAACAATTTTATAATACTTTTGATTAAAGATTATATCATAACTATTGTCACTTAATTGACTTATGGACAATAAGTTATGCATTAATCATTTAACTAATAAAATATTAGTAATAGAAGGGAGAGAATTGTTACCAATTGTTCCGGAGCCTGTGATCTTTCTTTTTTGATCACCTCTGAAACTCACGAAGCCATCTAACTTAAGTTCTAGGTCTTAAAACATATTTCTTCTTCCCGTCATATGTTATGAGCATCCAGAGTTCAGGTACCATGACTAGTGTTTCAACTGAGCTGCTAAGGATGTATGCAACATATATTATTTTATCTTTAAGTACCAACATCTTTTTGGGTTCTTTCTAGTTAGTTTTCCTATAGTTTTTAGAGAACTCGGGTCTTTGTGCAGAATAAGCATTTTGTGTATAAGCATAAGAGAAATGGGAGTGCAGAGCTTTTGGTTTTTCCTTAGGTTTTGAAATAGGTTTTTCTTTAGGCATATAACAAATTCTTCTTCTCCCATTTCTGCTAACTCCATAGATCATTGAAGTCATATTTTTTTTATCTATGTTTCTAGCTAGAAATGTGTTAGCTAGCAAATTTCGACTAGGGAATGAGTCAAAAGGAGAAGCATTGAATCATCAACGAAGAAGCGCCGAAATAGGCCGGTGTAGTCGAAGCAAGCTCGACAGACAATCCTTCAGGCTGAAGTCGAAGAAATATTGACAGATAACCATTCTGAATAAGGTCAAAGCTAAGCTAAAACGGGCAAGTGTTGCAACTAATGAGGACGTGGGGAAGTTACACACGAAGTGGGTGTACATGGGTGGACACGTGGCAAGATGTGAATAGTCAACAGCAAAGCAGCAGTTATTTTTTATACCTATTTAAGTAGAATTTAGTTCCAGTTCAAAAGGTCGCATTTTGTAACATTGCGAAGAAAACACTCAAAGTACCAGCGTCTAAGAGAAACGAGTCATTTTTACACAAGTGTATGCATGCGTCCAACTTATGTTTAAGGAATTTACATTATAAGTTTCATTTCAATTCACTTTCTTTTCCTATTTTTTTTGTCTTGTTTTTCTCTCATTTTATTTATCTTAGTTGCATGGACATAGATTTATTCAGTTTTCTTGTCCATTTCAAACCCAAAACACTTAAATAAACATTCCACACTTAACACTAAGTCTAAGACATTGTAGTCGATCCTGCAAGTAACCTTTAATAAGAGGCTAGAGATTGTTCGTTAGAAATCCGGTCAAATAAATTGGCACGTCCAGTGGGACCCGTTGTGTTAAGTAGATGTAATTGCGTAGTGGCAAGATATCTTGTCAAGACATCTTGTCTGACATTATAGCCTTACCAGAGATACAACAAAACAGGTTGTATGAGAACATGAAAACTTTGTACAAGCTGTACCAAAATAGCCATACAATAGATAGGTACACAACTCCCTCTGTCACACATAATCAATCATTCCCCCTGAAGACTACAATCTACTGCAAAGAATACGTTATCCCAGACAGCAACAAGCTCCATATCTTCTCAGTAGCAGCAATAGGCATGACAACCTATCCAACTCTCCCCAAAAAGTTGCTCATAAGCAATAACACGGGCCACAACTACTCTTTCTAAGCAGTAGTACACGCATGACATCAAGTCATAACATATGAGGTAATGGAAGCACACATGACTTGGTGGAAACACACAATCTTGATCATCTTCAGGTGTTCTTCCACCTCTTGCCCCTATCAAAGATCCTTCTGCACTTCTTGTTGTTGTCACATGTTTGAGGAGTGTTGACACTGGACTCTCTTACCACAGCCTTAAAACATGCCTTTTTTTCACACCATCCATTTTATCTTGCAGAGAATTTTTGTTCCATCCCTTAGTAATGGCAACTTGCTTAGACTTACTATGCCTTAAAGAGTAGAGGAAAGATACAATGTTTGTTACATTCCTCCAAGCCTGTAATTGCTATAAATCCTCAATAGGGTAAGTACCTAGCCCACTATTTATGTTCTCAAATTGATTTGCATATAAGGCTTTAGTAATCATAATAGTCAGTTGTTCCTTAGTGTTCTCATGCTCCAAAATAACAACCTTGCCTTCAGAAAGATTCTTGATTAGTTGAAGTCTATTAAGGTTCTTGTTCAGTCATATTAGATGAGATATCTGATAGCATTCAAATCTTTGCAATCTAATTCCATGACATTCTGCTTGAAATTATAATCTTTCCACGTCTGTTTCATCCACACTAGTTGAGAGCAAACTCTTTTTGTTTCACCACACCCAACTTCAACAGTGTTCCCAGAAGCACATCCATCAGTATTGTAAAATTCTTTCAAGAAGTTATTATTGTGAAAGTAGAACACACCATAACCACTTGTTCCAATGATACAATTCAAAATCTTCTTTTCTTGAATAATAGGACTCATCTTTGGTTCAAGCTTAGAGACAAGACAAAAGTCTGATATTTTCTTTGCAAGTTTAGTAGTTTTACCTTCAGTAGGGTGTTTGGCAATGAGTTCCTTGGTTTGTTCTTCCTGAGCTCCAACAAAGAGGCCTGAAGTGACTTGAGAGTTATCTGAAATAATGTTAGAGAAATTAGAGATTTCTTCCCCTCCTGCCTCATCAGTCTGCCTATAGGATGTTTCATCATTGGCTTCAACATCCATCCTTTTCTCAGTGATTGAATCATCAATTGCCACACTGATAGATGCCATTGTCATTTTAGTTCTGGAGTTAAAAACTCTATTAGCTCTGTTGCTTGAAGAGTAACCCAAAAATATCCCTTCATTAATCTTGAGTTCTAGAATTTATATAATGGCTCCTTCAGACATTATCTCCTTCATTCTTTTGAGATGAAGATGTCCAATATTCTAATGACATAGCTTCACTTCACCCTCATTGGTTGTGGAAGAGTAAGCAGTTATTTGAGGTTCTCATAGATAACAATTGTCTTTAGACGTTATACCCCTCATTAGAATAACATCTTTCTCATCTTTGACTAAACATTCTGACTTTGAAAAGTTAACCAACTAGCCTTGATCACATAGCTGACTAATGCTAATAAGATTAGTAGTTAATCCTTTCACAAGAAGAACATCTTCTAAATTAAGAGAACCAACACATACCAATCGTCCCACTCCTTTAATTTCTCCTTTAAATCCATCATCAAATCTGACAGCACCTGGGGGATGAGGCCTAATATCCACCAATAACTTCTGAACCCCTATGATGTATCTAGAGCACCCACTGTCAAAATATTAATCTTCTCTAGTTACAACCTTTGAGGATGTGTTAGGTATAATGTTCACATCCCTGTTGACAGATCTTCTCTTTGACTCACTTGATTAACCTTAGAATGAGCTGAAGATTGTTGAACTCCATACAATTTATAATAGAAAGGCTTTGTATGACCATACTCACCATAATAATGACACCTCCACGTTGACGATTGAGATTTTGTTGAAGTTACATCATGTTTGCCATGATGTTGTAACATATGGTTGGACATGGTGATCATCTTCTTCTTCTCAGAAGGAAAAAACCTTTTTACAGACCTTTTTGTTTTGTTGATCATCAGATGAATAACTACCTCTTGTATCTCCATATTCTTTCATCATATCATATCCACTTTTCATCCTTATTAATGAGTCTGACGTATTATTAAGCTTAGAGTTCAAGAAACTTACCTCATCTTGCAGATGATAACCAGTATATAGAAGTTCCTTTCTCTCATTCTCTAGTTTAGTAATGACCTTCCTCTGATTTTC